AAATAAATAAATAAATAAACTGAACTGGACTGGCAAGAGTAAATAAAATGTGATAGACAAAATTGTCATTTAGCAGTTTAAATTGTTATTTTGTGAATGGTTTCACAATTGAGTAAAAAAGTTAGAGTACCCAATGTATCAGAAATGAAAAATAAATAAATAAATAAATAATGCTGAACTGGCAAGAGTAAATAAAATGTGATAGACAAAATTGTCATTTAGCAGTTTAAATTGTTATTTTGTGAATGGTTTCACAATTGAGTAAAAAAGTTAGAGTACCCAATGTAGTACATCAGAAATGAAGAATGTAAATCTCTCCAGAGATAATTGGATTTTCACCTCCACCAAATCCTGTCAACACAGCTGCAAGTGCAACATGATGGAAACTGCAGTTCAAGAACATCTGGAGGATCACATATTCTCCATTGCTGGATTACCTGCTGCAACTTATATAAGGACTTTGCTTAGAACCTCTTAGAATGTAGTTTCCAAACCCCACAACTACTCATTACAAAAAAACACAATATGAATGAACAGAAATCTACTTCATATTCACTATCTTAAACTCAAAAAGAATCTGAAAAAAAATCTCAGGAGGAATTCTAAAGAAATTTAGAATTCAGCATGTGGTAACATTAGGGACAGGATCCCTATCACATGGTTCATAAGTAGAACAGAAAATTGTAGAAATGGCTGTAGCTATTTGGTAAGGTGTTAGTTGTGTGACAAGGACTTTATCAAACAGCCGCAACTGCTTCCCTGGCTTCTATTCTGCATAGGGAAAATCAAATAGGATATTGGCTTATATTATTTATACTGAAGAATGTGTGTAATGAAAACCTTAAATGTAGTTAAGGCCTCTCAGGTAGTTTGCCTATTTAATAACCACCACCACCACCATCATAGCACTGCAAAGCTTAATTCCTTTACAATAAATTTTATATCCCAGCTCTTCCAAATTCTGTAGACAAAAAAGAAATAAAGGTATTTCTAACTTGTAAAAATAAAAACCCGCATCAAAAAAGAAATCAGTTGAAAATGATATCCCCAAGATGCTTTTAAAAACCACCTCATTGTTCTAAAGTAACAGGGATGCTTTCTCCTCTACAGAGACTGAAATAATCCTATATATATTCACTTAGAAAGAAGCCTTCACGGATGACAGCAGATTAAATATACAGGAGTGAGATTGCAAATGTGTTGTCTGGTAATTACACCAAGCTAGTCAACTGGGACTTCTGTAGCAACTTTAATGAAATCTAAATGTGTGGCACATCTGTCCTGCATCTCTCAAGCTATGTCAGTGACATGGGTTTTCTTGAATTTTTCTGCAACCCTAAATTGACAGAAACCTGACTGAGTATATGTAATTTATGTTTAGTGAGCAAAACACAAAATAATATGGCAAGTTAATTTTGCACAGTCAAAAAATCTGAACAGTTCTTCTAGTGGTCTAAAGTAGCTGAACGAGATGCTTCAGGGTGTGAGCTCATGATTTCAGCAAAGTGCCCTTAATGTAGTTTACAAAAACACTACTTCAACCCTATCTTACATTACCAGAACCTACCTTACAAATTTTTCTTTTAAAATATTATGGAACCTGAGCATACTAATTTTAACATGGATCGTAAGATGCAGAAATAAAATGGGTACATTTTCAGAAGATGATCTATTGAGGAATAGATACAACTTTAAGGATTTATTTGCGTTGTATTTATTTCAGGCACTCTGATCTATATTCTAAGTTATGAATTAATTTTATGAAACAATGAATGCATTTTTAAAAGGAAAAAAACTTAATTCCACATTCTTCTCATTGGAAGATGCTTGAATGGTAAAATAGAAATATTTGTCCTGCACTCTGGCTACGACTGAATTCTACTGGCAGTTTTCCAAAATAGAAATAGAAGAAAAATAGCACCTTTGCAAATTTAAAAAATGGCCTTGGATCTTTCCTGAAGTATTCAATATCAAACATTGCTTGAGGATCAGGAAGATCTGGGAAATCCACAGCAAGGCGTGCATAGATACCATCTCTTGACCGGAAGTCAGGAATTCCACAAGACACAGACACCTGAAATGGATTTCATACTATAATGAATATCATTAGTGCATCCTATTGATAGTGCATTTGCTGAGATCAAGAAAGCATATATTAAAATTGAATATTTAGTCAAACTGAATTGCTTTTTTAAAAAACAAAACAAATATAGCTTTTTTCAAAACTATTTATGGATCAGTACATTAAAAAGGCTTCAAATGAGGAAATTTTGATTGGAGTCACAGCCAAGGGAAACCAAAGCACAGCGCAGCCACTTTGTAACACATTTTCAAAAAGGCAGGCATGTTGGTCTCTGAAGGATGTGTAACACTCCCACAAATTTGATTCCATAGGAAAATGGAATTGGAAAGGGATATTTGAGAGGCAAACAACTGGGATATACTTATGAAAGCCTGTCTGTAGCTATGGTTTTGTGTTTTTTTAAAGCAGGCAATATCTGAAAATCTGTTTTGCAAATTACACCATGCAAGGCTGATGACATGACCAGTAGCTGTGATTTTTCAGAAATTAAACATTCCGAGTTCTCCCTCTGATGGTTTTAATTACAGTAATCATTTTCATTGTTGGGAAGCCACTGGGAGCTGTGGGCAGGATAGAGAAGTCTTTAATAAGCTAAAATCTCTGCCACTGGGATTACATTACTAGTGGCAGCGATTTTGGTAATTAAAAGACTCCCCCCCCATCCTGTGATTCCCCCAACTGCTTCTCAAAAATGAACATGGCTGTGATTATGCAAGAGTCTTGGGACCTTCAGAAGAGAAGTGAGAAAATGTTTAGTTTCAGAAAAATAGCCACTGCAGGTGGCATCATCAGCTTTACATGATGTAATACAACGGCCACAGGATTTCAGCCTGTGTGTATTTATCAGTTGGTTTCCACAACAGTCTTAAGTAGAATAAAAAGATGTATTTTTCCAGAAAATCTCAGGCTTGCTGCATAACCATTTCTTGAGAGCAAAACTAGCTGCTTCAACACTCTAAAAACAAATGTATTTGCATATATAAGTTTCAAATCAGCTGATAAAAACAAATGTATTCGCATATATAAGTTTCAAATCAGCTGATCACTTATTGTTATGCGATCGCATTTGCGATCGCTAGAACGGTCCAGTTGTGCGGATTCGTCGTTCTACGGTGCACTCGTTGTGCGAGGCACCACTGTATTTTTCCAGAAAATTTCAGGCTTGCTGCATAACCATTTCTTGAGAGCAAAACTAGCTGCTTCAACACTCTAAAAACAAATGTATTTGCATATATAAGTTTCAAATCAGCTGATAAAAACAAATGTATTCGCATATATAAGTTTCAAATCAGCTGATCACTTATTGTCAGGATGTTTTATTACCAGTAATAATGTAATTGTCATATTCTGTATCTCATTTCAATTTATTTCCTCCATTACATACACAGCATATACAGATTCGTGTACTTAAGATCGGCAGGTCGCAAAGCGAAGGTCAGTAAGCGAACCGCTTACCGACCTTCGCTCTGTGATTTTGAGCCATAGGGGCCGTCGGTATGCGATCACATTTGCGATCGCTAGAACGGTCCAGTTGTGCGGATTCGTCGTTCTACGGTGCACTCGTTGTGCGAGGCACCACTGTATTTTTCCAGAAAATTTCAGGCTTGCTGCATAACCATTTCTTGAGAGCAAAACTAGCTGCTTCAACACTCTAAAAACAAATGTATTTGCATATATAAGTTTCAAATCAGCTGATAAAAACAAATGTATTTGCATATATAAGTTTCAAATCAGCTGAACACTTATTGTCAGGATGTTTTATGACCAGTAATAATGTAATTGTATCTCATTTCAATTTGTTTCCTCCATTACATACATAGCATATACAGATTCGTGTACTTACTATTAAATTACATGTTGGAAGAAGTGGGCTATAATCCACAAATTCTCCCTCTACAATAACTCTGCTAGAAGTACTATAAGACTTTGGCTCTTTGCTTTATTTATGTTATGCATTCAAAACATATAAAACTTGTCTTTAGATACCTAATGTATATTTTCTCAATTCCATGAAAGAAGAAACAGGAATCTTTATCTATTAAAGGCAGTAGTTGTTGCAGCATAAGGTTCTGCTTGCGTTCTGCAAAAAACATTATCTATTAAATAAATATGCATCATGTGTTGCTGCCCATTTGTTTCCTAAAGTCAAGTCAGTAGTAATAACGTGAGGCAGTGAATCTACCATGTCTATTTCCTACCCATCTTGAGAAAGTTGCTCTACAACACTTGAGCTAGAGAATCAGGAAGGTACTAATACCTCAAAAATGGAGTGCTTGAAATAAGGAACTAATGTTCCTTTATCATAGTGGTAGGAATATGTAGGGCACTCCTTCGTAGGAGTGCTCAAACCTCATGCTCAGCTGTTGGTGTTCAGCAGAACCTAGGAACAGGCTAACTGTACAACAAGGATGAGGAACCTGGGACCCTCCAGATACTGCTGGCCTTTAATACTTATTCACTCCAGTGTGGCATGATGAAAACATGAATAAACAACTGTTAGATGACAAGTTTCTCCACCTTGTCATGCAGAATTGCGACATAGGGTAAAAGTTCTGCATTTGCTACTTGTTCACTAAATTATATATGTATCCTAACTTGGACATATGTTTGGAAAGTCCAATATATATATATATTCTAGTAATTATGAAGTTAAGGCATAATGTAAGCATTATTTAGGGGCAATCTTCTTTTTGCAAGCTATACTGAAAGATTTGCCAGGAGTACTGCTGGCCCCCATAGCAGAACAATACAAAAAAAGTCAATTCACATGGTATACATATTACTCAGATTATATATTCTGTTAAACATTTAAATACATACCCCAGCTCCAGTCAAGACAATTATTTTTTTGCATTCATGTAGGAGTTTCACAGCATCCTCTAACGTATTAATATCTTTCCTCTTTTTTCTTTTAGGTGGTTCTGACAGAATATTAATAACGATTTGCCATAATGTCATATCATCCAGTTCAGGGGGAGGAACTGTTTCTGGTAACAAATCTTTCAGAATTGCACGGGGATCTGTGCCTATCATGAGATGCTGTTGGACAAAAGTATATGGACCTAGTGTAGAGAAACAAAGCAACTGTGAATTGGCTGATACAGTATGTTGAACTTGAATTAGAAAATTATGTGGTAACGACTCTTGAGATTCATACTGTGCCACCTTGTCACATTTTCAAAAGTGTAAATGGCACACTAGTCTGAAAAATACACTGGGAAAAATCCTATTGCTTAATTTGTGCCGGCATAAATATGATCAGGGCACCAGAAGTAACTAACTAAAATTGATGTAAAACTTCCTATTCTGCCATTTCAGCTTCTGAGACTCCCTAGGGCTCTCTTTTGCCATGGCAAAGCTTTTGGGAGCCTGCAGGTGGGAGAAACCTTAAAAGTAAAAAATGGTCAATTCCAGTGACAGCAATCTAGCAGTGATTTTTTTTACTTTTAAAGTCTCACCCTCTGTGTCACATGGCTCTCAGTTTATTGACTAACTTTTAACTAACATCATAGATTTTACCAAGATGGAACCATTTAAACAGTCTATCATAACAGGATAAAATTTCCATTTACATCTATCAAACGGATAAATTACATTTAGCACTTTCTTTCAAATCCATGTATGTGAGGACAATCCTACCACACAGACAGAAAGTTGGTATCTGATGTCTGACATCTCCAGCTATTATGGTGAAAGCTATAAATTTAATTATGCCAAGTGAAGTAGCATCAGTACATGGCCAAAACAATCCACAGTGGCAGATTGCATTTTGTCTGGTTTATATTCAACCCTTAGGATGTGCTTCGTCCTGCTTTCATACATCTCTACTCATTACTGTATCATGTAACAATTTCTTACAACAGAGAATGATACATTGTAGAGGGACTGGTCTGCTCTATGAAGCCTATTCAACATTTCAGGTTGGTTTATAAATGTCACACAAAGCAAAGATTGTAATACAATGTAACTATATTGCCAGGATACCCCATATTCTGTACTTATTTCAAGATGAATTCATTCTTAGTATTAATCTACATCATGAAGTGAATTTATTTGTTTGTATGTATCTGTTACATTTATATCCACCTTTTAACTATGACCTCCACTTTATCCTCAGAACAACCTGTCAGGTAAGGTATGCTAAGAATGAATGACTGCCCAAGGTCAGCTAGTGAGATTCATGTGCAAATGAGAATTTGAAGCAAGTTCAACACTCTAATCCCAACACCATACTGGCTCTTTTAGAATTAAAGCATATTTAATTTAACCACAGATAAATAAACAGATAGCAAATTGATAACAGACCTTTTCATGCAAGTTCCTGTTGATACTTACTGCCTATTTATATGACTATGGCTAAATACCAGCAATATTATCAGAACCTTAGTATTATTCGGAAAACAAAGAAGGAGAAGTAGCAATGCATCTTTGCTTCCCAAATACCTTGTCTTTTGTGGGTACAAGCAGAAGGGTAGTGGATGGGTGTGATTTCCAGCATCAATCAGCCCTGGGATAAAAAGTAAATCAGTTTTTCTTGCCCTTTACTAGCCTCCTTTCCAGTGGCACTCTTACTCATTTCATTTTATAAACTAAAGAGGTCTCTACAACAAATCACAAAACCACCTGAAACGTCTAGTTCTGTTGTCAACTGCTAATCCTGGATTAAAAGTACAAAAGGCATCTGAACATGTCTATAGCTCTATGCCAGTACATAGCTGGTCACACAGAATGATAAGAGCTGAGGCATTTTGCCACTCAGCTGAAGTACTACTCTTGACAGTTTACTAGCAAAGCTACACAAATATCTTGCTAACACTTTACATTGCTTTATATGAGGAAGAGAAAATCATCACAGTTGTTTAGAGATGGCTTGACAATAATAAAAGGTCAAAGTGAGAGATAATCTATGTGACAATCCTGAAAAATGATCAAGTACATCACTCTCACAAGATTGACATTTAAATGTCTACCTATACGTGGCCGTGGAGTCCAGTCACTAGAGCTTGCATGAGAAGCTCTGTCATCTTCATCACTCTCACAAGAATGGAAGCCGTTTGCAATGATTTCATCACTAAAAAATATATTATCTGCAAAATAACATAAGCAGAGGGAAACAGTAATCAGATAAAAGTAGTATGATCACAGCAAATTATACCTCTGAGGAGCCATGTTACCACAGTCAACATACATCTGTAAATATTAGTGGCTTCAGAAGTAATATGGCTCATGTCAAAATTAATTCCTGTATTTTTAGGAGCTACACTAAAGACTAATTTATTTAGATTTTGGCAGGTGTATCTTATGTTATATACGAACTATATCTGCCCAAATCACCTCTTTAATATAAGACTACTAATTCCCTCTCCTTACAAGCAGTGCTGCTCTGTCTTTATAAGACTCTGCTCCTCACAAAGCAATTAGAAATAAACATGCCCCATATGAAGGAAGTCATCACTCTCTCATATAACAATTAACAATATCACTCCCTATTGCATCTAGTGATTGAGTTTAGGAAAAAAAAACTATTCATGGCACAATTCTATACATGCTTATTCAAAAAGAAGTCATTCAGAGTTTAAGGACTCACGAAGTTTAACAACTCCTACATAAGTGAGCATAAGATTGCAGACTAAATCTAAATTACTATACACAGGATCATTTTAATAGAGGAAAATGTTAGTTGTTAACTTTATCTCCCGGACTCCAGAAACACAAAGATACTTCATAGACAACAAACCAAATAAAGAAATAAAATACACCGTTTCAACAAATGCACATCTCCAAAGTCTGCTCCAACAGCTTTGGAGTGACTATTTTTTTCTTCACACTCACATATCAATGATATGGATTTAGAGTCCAATTTCAATGAAACTCATAAAAATTTAGATTAATCCAGTTCACATTTATTTAGAAGTAAACATGATTAATCTACAAAACAGATTTGCTTGGATTACAACAGTGGCAAGAGTAAAAAGAAAACCACCCATTCACAACCAGTCATTTACACAAGTATGTGGGAGTAAAATAAATTGAACAAGGTGGAATTTCTATTGATCATGTATGTGCACACTGGAAACTGACTAGAAGTCCGGAGACACATTTTACTATCAGGCAAAGGCTCTTGCAAAGGGCTGTGATCCAAGGCATTTTTAACTCATGGGAAAGGACATGAATAATGTGAATAAAAACAATTGTGCTGCACAAGTTAACCAACTTGGAACGAAAGAGAAAGGTACGAGTAACTTCTGACATTTAAATGGTCCCAAGCATTACTTTTCTTCAGACCTTCGGCAATTAGGTTGCAGAGAGTAGCATTGCACACGCCCCCTCCAGGACGGGAGAACTAAGCGATGTCCAGCATGTACTGTATATAGACAGACGTCTACACTTCCCCCCTCCGCCCCCTCCCGTGAGACAGGCAGCGTCACTCTTGACAGATCTGCGGCTCAAGGACCAAAACTCAAGGACCTCCACTCCGGCCCCCTCCTCCTCCTCCTCCCCACCCACCGCCCGCCCGCCCTCCTTCTCACCC